GTGTTTTCGTTTGGGTTAAAACTTGTAGTAAGTGAGTCTATAGTCCGTTTTCGGTCCTCAATTCCTATGCAGGCTTGGACGCCGTGATCTGGGAGTCTTTACTCTGCCGCCATCTTCCGGAAGTCCCCAGGCTTCTGTTTTTTAATCCATCCTGCACCTCTGTGTCTTTTAACTGATAAGTTTAAGGCATTTATATTTAGAGATAATATTGATATACTGGCACCTACATTTGCCATTTTTTGGTCCTTTTGTGTTTTTATTCCTAGTTTTGAACTGTTCTTGTTCATTCTTCTGTTGGATTTGGTTTGAGGGCTTCTTGTAGTAGTTTTTGGAGTGGGGGTTTAGTCGTGACAAATTGCAGAGTTTCTGTCTGAAAATGTCCTTATTCTTTCTTCATAGAGGAAGGAGAGCTTCACAGGAAAGAGTATCCTTGGCTGGCATTTAATGCTTTGGAGTTTGTTGAGTATGTCCCTCCACTCTCTTTTGCCTGTGGTGTTTCTTCAGAGAAGTCTGATGTCAGCCTGACCATTTTCCCTTTATAAGTTATTTGTTTTCTTCCCTCTTGTCATTCTCATTATCTTTTCTATGTCTTGTAGTTTTGGATATTTTATTGTAATGTGTCTTGCTGTAATTCTCCTGTCATCATGGTAGTTTGGTGTTCTTGCTTCTTGGATGTCTACTTTCATCTCCTTTTTCATATTAGGGAAGTTCTCTTCTATTATCTCTGTAAATATTTTCTCGATTCCTTGGCCTTTGTCTTCACCTTCTGGGATACCTATTACTCCGATGTTTGCTTTTCTAATGGTGTCAGACAGTTTTTGAAGTGTTTCTTCATTCCTTTTCCTTTTTACTTCTCTTTCTTTTTCTTTTTTAATTCTCGTTCTTTCTGAGTTTTCTAGGGTGCTGATATGTTATTCCATTTCATCTATTCTGTTTTCATCACTTTTCCCAGCATTCTTTATCTCCTCTAGTGGCCTTTTTATCTCCTGCATTTCTTGTATTTCCTTTTTTAATGTCTTATTTTCTTTCTTCTGTTCGTTGATTGCTTGTCTCATTTCGTTTTTTTTTTCTGTGTTATTTCTTTTATTCATTTCCTTGTTTGCATTCTTCAGTTCCTTGATTGCTTGCCTCATATCATTTTTTCCCTTCTCATCTTCTTTTTCTTTGTTTATCATGATGATTCTGAATTCTCTATCTGGTAGGCTGTATATTTCTTCTATTTCTTTGGTGCTTTCTGGTGTCTGATCTTTTTGTGGTGAATTTTTCCCCTTCGACTTGCTTGAATATTTGTTGTCTTCTCATCCCTGTTGTGCACATTCTAATACTTTCTATTCGCTGAGATATGGTGTTGCTACTATAGACTGGCATATTTTCTGTATTTTCTTTCTGGATGGCTGAGGAATTTCCAGACTCTTCAGTTGTGGAGGACATCCTGACTTGTGCTTTGTTTCAGTATCTCCTGTTTTTCCCACCCCCACTGTGTCAAATTGTGTCTTTCGTCTTAGCCAGTAATAGTCAGGAGTCTCTTGTGGTACTCAGCTTCTTTTAGTAACACGTTGAGTCCTTTTCTCTGGAAAGTGCCTGTTGATCTTTCTAGCCTTCTGATGTCCCAGATTCCCTCTATGCTTTTATGTGTCTGTTAGGGGTGTCACATTTTTAAAGTGTTGTAGGTCTTCCTGCAGCTGGGCCTATGTTGAACCAGTCACTGCTTTTTGTTTACTTTCTGAACACTGTGAGCCTCTGCTGTGTGTGCGGGGAATGCAGGGGTGCAGGGAGTTCTAGAAGAGTTTCAAGTTTCCCAGCTGAGCAAGCAGGTTGCCAATCCTCCCTCAGCTCCTCCAGGTTTTTTTGTGCCTACTCCAAGCAGTTTCTCCGTGAGCTGTCTTTCTACTTGGAGTCCTCTCACGAGTGGAGTTGTCTCTCTTAACTCCAGGGCTTTACCACAGTTTTTTTGGGTAGATGTGGTAAGCAGGTAGACCCCAGATCAAGTCTCCCTGTTTGAGGCACTTCCTAGGACCTCTCTATGTTAAATGTGTCCATGCAAGGTTGTTAAAATTGCTGCATTATCCTAGGGTTGGGCCTGTGGTTGGGTCCTGACCCCCGCAGCAGCTTGGGATACACTCACCTAGCTGTGTTGTCTCAGTTTATATGCAGGGCTTTGTTGGGGCTGCTGGGACAAAGGTCAGCAACAGGTCTGTGGAGTATCCTCAGGTCTCTGGTTCTGAGCTGCAGCCTTTTCCCACGATTTGGTTTCCCCTTCCTAGCTGAATTGTCTCAGTTTATCTCCAGGGTTGAAGCAGGGCTGGGACAAAAGGCTGCGGAACAGCCTGCAGCTCCTGCCTCAGGCAGGTTCCCTCTGTAGGGCTTCCTGTCTTTCACAGCCTTGATTTTTAAAGGAGCTGAGCGAGTTGGAAGCTGCTGGTGTACCTGTATCAGTTCCTGCCTGTGTGGCTTCCCTTATGGGGACTCCCCAATCGCCTGTTCTCCCTCGGTTATTTTAATTCTAGTGAGTCCAGGGCGTTCTCATTTGGATTGAAACTCGTAGCATGAAAGTCTATAGTCCGTTTTTGTATAATCCCGTGCTAATTTGGATGTAGTTGCCTCGGAGTCTTTATTCTGCCACTATCTTGCCGGTTCCCGTGCTGGTCGAGCTGATCAGTGGCTTTGTGTGGCACCCAGGTGCTCCTGATTGAGTCTGAAGTTTCAGCGGTTTTTCTCTCACCCAGGTATTGAGGATCAGATTTGCAGTCTTTCTGCAGCCTGGGATCCACTCACTGAGGTGAGCAGTCCAGCTTTACCTCCAGGGTTTAGCGTGGGGCAAAGTGGCTCCTGCAGCCCGTGGAACTTCCAGGGGCCTGGGTTTTCTCGGGAGTTCCCTTCTGGGAGCTCCCCAATCGCCGATTCCCTCTCAGTTATCTACCTTCTAGTGAGTCCAGGGTGTTTTCGTTTGGGTTAAAACTTGTAGTAAGTGAGTCTATAGTCCGTTTTCAGTCCTCAATTCCTATGCTGGCTTGGACGCGGTGATCTCGGCTTCTTTACTCTGCCGCCATCTTCCGGAAGTCCAGAAATACCTTGTATTTTAACAAAGAAAAATGGGAAAGAAGTTGGGGCATTTTAAATTCCTATATCACCAAATAAAATTATGAATACAGTGGTCTTAATTGCTTTTTATCATTTCCCTTGTTGTAGTGGTAGTTTATAGAATTTTATGAAAAACATGTTTATCATCTAGAAATAAATTTGCTGTAGTGTTAGAGGATCCAAAGAACATATAAAAAACAGTATACTGCTGTAGAATTCAGAAGGAAAGTAGGTAAAAGTATTACAACTTTTATAGAAGGGATTAGAATTAACATTAAAGGTAAGTTTGTTATATAACTGGCTTACCTAGAAAATATTCCTGTATATTCTGACTGGATAGACAAAAGATGGTGTTATAGAGTGGTGCCAACAACAAAAGTAGCTTATTAAAAATGTAGGAAACTTTGCATGAATACAAAATTTGAAGGAATGTTGAAACGGATTTCTGTTATGGAAGGTGACAACTCTCGAATTTATTGGAGGTAAATTGTCATTATTTAGTGTTGAAGATTTTCAGACTTTTTTTTTTTCTTTTAGATATGGAAACAAGTGAAAAAATCCAAGGAAGTGGGATGCTTCAGCTGTTCGCAAGTCTGTTGAATCCACAGTCTTCCTGCACAGCTAAAGTAGCCAACATCATAGCAGAAGTAGCTAAAAATGGTGAGGTTTTCCTCAAAAACTTATCTATTGGGAATCTTTTTTATCTTACTTGTCAGTATGTTTTGTTAATTTCTGTCTTTAATTTTGTGGATTATAACCTTTTCTACTTAATTTTGTTTTATTGTTTATGTTTACTTATTTATAATGACTAGTTATATAGTCATTCGACTCATAAATTTTCCCATTTGCTATTCTACTCCCTCAGTTTAGAACGGAAGAAAAATCTTTGCAGTCTCTGCTATACTTGTATCATTCATTCCTGTGGTTATAGGACTACTGGGTCTTTGGTCTTCATTGTCACAGGAGAGCTCAACTTTTTTTTCAATGTATATGTTGATTTGTGTTACACCCACTTACTTTCACTTTTTTTTTTTTTTTTAAGTTTAATCTATCCCTCCTGTCACCAGCACTTTGTTGCTGGGGCACATTTTACACACACACACACACACACACACACACACACATGTGTGTGTGTGTGTGTATGTATGTATGTATCTGTTTTCTGCACTTCTTTTCATGAGAAACATTTTTTTTCACTTTTTGTGTAACAGTGCTCTAGAGAACCAATAATAATAGGAAAACCTAAACTATATCACGACTAACCAATTTCATTACATATATTTTTTTTTATCTAGTGAGAAATTGAAGGAGAGAATTATATTGTAGTAAAATATTTGCATATAAGAACTGGGGTACAGGCAAGAGGTGTGGGAGAGTGAGAAGATTCTCCAGAAACAGTGTGGGGAGCAGAACAGGTGGACTTACTGAAATACACTGCTGAAGGAGCAGCAGGCATGATAGGAGAGATCTGTCTCAACATGTGAGTCATCTCCCTGGCTGGGGAGCAAACTCTTGCTGCAATGGCTGCTTTTAGCTTCATAGTGCTGTGCTTTAATCTGTTACACTGCCAGGGAGGGCCCTCTCTGCACCTACTTTTAATTCAGTCTGTTTGAGGAAAAAAATGCAATTCTGAGGCCTTCCGGGTGACCAAGGAATCAGCACAGTGAAGCTATCCGCAGTAACTGTAGCAGGAGTTCTATGGCCAGCCAGTGAGGTGACCCACGTTGTGTGGCAGACCTCTCCTGTGTTGCCCACTGCTCCCCTCAGCAATGTACTTCATCGATTTGCCTACTCTGCTCCCCACTCTGTCTCTGGTGAATCCTTTCATCCTCCACACCTCTGGCCTATACCCCAGTTCTATATGAATAAACAAATGGATCTTTTAAAACATGGAATTTTTAAAGTCTTTTAAAATATAATTGAAGACCACACTAAACATGCTACATTCTGTGTGTCAGTTTGTCAAGTGTGGATATCTTTTGGTCTTTTAGTAAGTTTCAGATACTATGTTTTAGAAAGAAGAAATTTTCAAATTCTGGCTTCATTTGTATAATCAATATGGCAGGGTACCATTATACAGTAGTAGTATATGTTGTTTTTTCTGGTACATGTGTTAGCAAAAAGGAAAATAGGTCTCAAATTGTGTTTCCTGTTTCAGTGAGGCTCTAGATTAATAAATCATTTTTGGTTATTTTTCCTTTTAGGTTTCAAAAATATTTAATAAATGTTAAACATACAAAAACAGATATTAACATAAATCATAAAAATAGAAGTTTTTCACTAATAAGAACACCCTATTCTATGAACGTGTTTGGTTTAAGCTCAGTTGAGTATAACCTTGATGTTCTCTTATATCTACAAATGCTGATGTGATCTAAATAATGAAATTACAGCTAAATGAACATAAAATACAGGAAATTATTTTAGTTTAATGCACAAGAAATACATTTTTTTAAAGATTTATTTATTTATGCATACAGAACTGGGGTACAGGCCAGAGGCTCAAGGGTGGTGAGAGGCTTCACCAGAGACAGAGTGGGGAATAGAACAGGTAGATCAACGAAGTACACTGCTGAGGGAAGCAGCGGGCGGGTCAGGAGAGGTCTGCCACACCATGTGATCACCTCCGGGGCAGGCGGGAATCAAACTCATGGGGAAGCGGCTTTAGATTCTCAGTGCTGTGCTTTATCCCGCTGTGCCACCAGGGAGGGCCAAGAAATACATTTTTAATGATGAAATATTTAGTACTCTTTTCCATTAATTTATATTTGTATTTTTACAAAAATGGGATCTACAGTGTAAAAAGAACTATACATCAGTAAAAAACTCAGCACCTACTCTAAAAATAAAAAAGACTCTCACTTCATCTGAAGAGTGTAACCGGCAAAGGTAGAAACTTGTGGAATTACTTGCTAACAACCTATGAAAAAGTATCATTTTAGAGATGGTCTAATTTTCATATTTTTAAAAAACCTCAAGGCAAACTTAGTCATTTACAAATTAACCTGTTTTTAGGTTTACTTGGACCACAGCTAAGTTTAAATTGAAAATAAGTAAAAAACATGATCTTTTTTAGCAGGCTTGTAGTTTTCTTTGATGTTCTGCAGTGAATTGGTATAATATGTGGAAAACTCAAAGTATCTGTGAATTCTAAGTCGGTACTTTAAAAAAAGAAAACAACAACTTGTACTATCAATTATGTAGAGGCCTAATATTAGGAAGGTCAGCAATTCATTTAAATGCTGTATTTTTGCAACATTGGTCTAGAAAACTTGCTTCATCTAACAAACTTTGAGGAAATTGATAGTTAAATAATTAAAAAAAGTTAAATGGGGGCCTTCCCTGGTGGCACACTGTGTTAAAAGGGCAGTACTGGCCCTCCCTGGTGGCGCAGCGGGTTAAAGCACAGCACTGAGAAGCTTAAGTCACTTCCGTGTGAGTTTGATCCCCTCCTGCCTTGGAGGTGCCACAGAGGTGACCACATAGCATGGTAGACCTCTCCTGACTTGCCCGCTGCTCCCCAGTACAGCAGTGTACTTCATAGATCTGCCTGTTCTACTCCCCACTCTGCCTCTGGTGAAGCCTTTTGCCGCCCCTGAGCCTCTGGCCTGTACCCCAGTTCTGCATGAACAGATAAATAAATCTTTAAAAAATAATAAAATAAAAAAATAAAAGGGCAGTACTTTGAAGTAGCCACAGCCGCTTCAGCAGGGAGGAGACACACATGGCACAGCACACCTCTGCTGTCTCACCTGCTGCTCCCCTTAGCATGTACTTCACTTTGTCAGTCTGCCTGTTCTCCTCTCCACTCTGTCTCTGGATAATCTCTCACAGCCTTTACACCTCTGGCCTGTACCTCAGTTCTGTATGCATTATGTATAAATAAATAAATCTTTAAAAAAAAAACGAAGTTAAGTGTACAAGCAATTATCAAATGTAATTTGTTCAAGTTTCATCCTGTGGAAGTCATTTACAATAGCCGTATCTACTGACTTAATCTAATAAATAATTTACCTTTAGAAAAATTATGAGAATAGAAAAATAAATGTAAAGATGCAGAGATATCAAGTTTTTTTCTGATGTCAGGCAAATGTCCTATTTAAAAATAACTCACAGGGCCCTTGTGGTGCAGCAGGTTAAAGCACAGCACTAAGAAGCTAAAGCCACTTCAGCATGATTTTGATTCCTGCCAGCCCCAGAGGTGACTACATGGCATGGCAGACCTCTTCTGACCCACCCACTGCTCCCCTCAGCAGTGTACTTCGTAGATCTGCCTATCATGCTCCCCACTCTGTCTCTGTCGATGCCTTTCACTGCCCCTGCACCTCTGGCCTGTACCCAAGTTCTGTATGCATAAGTAAATAAATAAATAAAAAACCTCACAAATGTCTGACATTGTATTTTTAGAGGTATCTTTATATTTTGTCATAGGTAATTCTACAAATTTCTACTCTAACTTTGCCTCTTACATTCTCAGCAGAAGTGGAAATACTCCTTTTTTACCTGGTCTTTTTTATTTTTAGAGTAGGATCTGTTGTTATACTGTCGCCTTTTCATAGTCTAGGCCTCTTTTCTCTTTATTCACTGTTTTTTTTTTTTTTTTGCATAGATTTGTTGCCACTGTCCTCCTTTGTCTGTCTTCTTCTATAGATTTGAGGTTTAACATTGGCATCCCTTCAGCATAGCAATTGCCAGCAAAGGTGATTCAGCAGTGTTATTTTTTTCATTATTCTCAGCCTTCACTTCATAACACTCACATATACCCACTCCAGATTGTCAGAGACTTGTGTCCGACTTTCTATGAATGGGTAGGTTGATTTAAAGCTAAACTATATTACCTTGTAAGATCTTTAGGTTGAATTGACAGATTGTCAATCCTATGACTTTTTGTACATCTTTAATTTCAGCAAATTGTTGTTTTCTCTAATTCTAGACAATAAAGCTTCAACTTGCTAGAGGTGATCCTGAAGCATTCCAGCTGCTTGTGAGATCCTATGATATCTTGTGTGGGCAGGGAATTGGGTGGCAGGAAGGGTTGGTGGTAACAATGGCAGCAAAAGGCCATTTTCGCAGATTTAAGAGCTGGCTACCTATATCATCATTACGCTGTACTTTGAATTTGAGCTGGTCACAGATGTGCAGAGGTCTCCTTGTAGTCTGGAAGTATTTAGTGTACTTCAAGCAGATTTGAGCTGCTCTGAATAGTGATTATCTTAGTATAACAAAATTGAAACAGTTTTTTTTTTTAAGATTTATTTAATTATGCATACAGAACTGGGATACAAGTAGAGGTGCAGGGATGGTGAGAGGACTCACCAGAGACAGAGTGGAGAGCAGAACAGACAGATGAATGAAGCATACTGCTGAGGAGACAGCAGGCGGGTCAGGAGAGTTCTGTTGCAACGTGTGGGTCACTTCCAAGACCGGGGATCGAACTCCCACTGAAGTGGTTACTGCTCGCTTACACTTGCAGTGCTGCGTTTTAACTTTCTCTGGGCCACTCAGGACTGTCCAAAACTAAAACAATTCTAATTTTGACTTTTAATAACCTAGATTAGCCATTATTTTAATCTTCTTAAATGCAAATCATCTTGGTTATTTTTAATTTAATTAGGGCTACGGTATAGATTTCCAGTATTAAAGTTTTCTTAAAACTCTTT